CCCAGAGAAAAAGGCGCGCCCCAGAAATGGCAAGGAATACTCTTCTCAAAGCTCTACCAGTAGCAGCCCCGAGAAAGTAACGCTGACAGAACTGTTGGCATCCAGCGATGAGTGGGTTAAGGCGAGGCAGCATGCCCGTGATGGACCAAGCCTCCCCAGAGCCAGTGAGAGGAAAGCGTCCAGTCTGCCCAGCAGCCCGGAGAAGAAGGTTCTGTCCCAACAGGCTGAGGACAGCAAGTCCACGGAGGAAGCCCAAGGAAGCGTGCCACAGAGCAAAGCACCAGAAGGGCCCCAGTCTGGGTTTCAGCTCAAACAATCTAAACTGAGCTCCATTAGATTAAAATTTGAACAAGGTGCACAGGCCAGAAGTAAGGACGTGACTCAAGAGGACAAGAAGCCAGATGGCCAGTCCAGAATCCCAGTTAAAAAAATGCAGGAGAGCAAGCTACCTGTCTACCAACTTTTTGCTAGAGAAAAACAGCAGAAGGCCATAGACCTCTCAGACGAAAGAGCACCTGTCCCAAAAGATTTTCTGGTATTAAAAGCTAAAGATGAGCCCGAGCAAAGCAGTGAGATTGTTGTAAATGATTCCGGCTCTGATGATGTGCAAAAACAGAGAACTGAAATGTCAAGTAAAGCGATGCCTGACTGCTTGTCCGAGCCACAGGCTAAAGACTTGACATGTCATGTAACCTCAGATTTAGCAACTAAGGGACCCTGGGACAAAAAGGTCTTTAGAACGTGGGAAAGTTCTGGAGCCGCTAACAATAAGTCGCAGAAAGAAAAGCTTTCGCATGTACTTGTTCATGATGTAAGGGAGAATCACGTTGGTCACCCTGAGAGTAAAATTGTTGATCCCAGGAGTGAATTTGTGTCTGTGACTGAGAGAGAACACAAATTGTTAACAAATGGCTCTCTCTCAGAAGTTAAGGAAATGACTGTAAAATCTCCCTCCAAAAAGGTCTTGTACAGGGAATATGTTGTGAAAGAAGGGGACCATCCTGGCGGGGCTCTCGAGCAACCTTCCAGGAGAAGTGAGAGCTCGGCGGTGTCGCACATCCCGGTCAGGATGGCCGATGAGCGGAGGATGCCGTCATCTCATGTTCCCGTTGGTTTTTGTGAGCAGTCGCCATTCCCAAAGCATGAACTATTACAAAAGCCACCCCAGTCAAGTCACAAAGAGACAGTGGAGACACAGCACTTTAATTCTCTAGAAGATGAAAAAGTGTCCTATTCAGAAATCAGCAAAGTTTCCAAACATCAGAGTTACGTAGGCTTATGCCCCTCTCTCGATGAAACCGAAAGCTCCCCCACCAAATCTCCTGATTCTTTAGACTTTAGCCCAGGGAAAGAATCTCCCTCTAGCGAAGTGTTCGACCACAGTCCCATGGATGGATTGGAAAAAGTTGCACCACTAGCCCCGCCAGAGGGAGGGAAAGAGATAAAAACTTTACCTGTTTATGTCAGTTTTGTACAGGTGGGGAAGCAGTATGAAAAGGAGATACAACAAGGAAGTGTGAAAAAAATCATCAGTCAGGAATGTAAGACAGTACAAGAGACCAGGGGGACCTTTTATACAACCAGACAGCAAAAGCAGCCTCCTTCTCCCCAAGGTAGTCCGGAAGATGATACGCTAGAGCAAGTTTCCTTTCTAGACAGCTCTGGGAAAAGCCCTTTAACCCCAGAAACACCCAGTTCAGAGGAAGTGAGTTATGAATTTACGTCTAAGACACCAGACTCACTCATAGCTTATATACCAGGTAAACCCAGCCCAATTCCCGAGGTTTCTGAGGAATCGGAGGAGGAGGAGCAGGGCAAGTCGTCCTCCTTAAAGCAGACTACAGTGGAGGAGATAATAGGCCCGCACGAATTGCCTAGCAGCGTGAGCAAAGACTCTAACCAAAGACCCAAAACCAACAGAGTTGCCTATATCGAGTTCCCCCCTCCTCCGCCGCTGGATGCAGACCAGATGGAGTCGGAGAAGGATCTTTCTCTGCCTGAAAGAGAGGCTGGCATGATTGAAGTCAGTCTGCAAGATGAGCATGACAAGTACCAGCTGGCTGAGCCAGTCATCCGAGTGCAGCCACCCTCCCCAGTTCCTCCTGGGGCAGACGTCAGTGATTCGAGCGATGATGAATCACTTTATCAACCAGTTCCAGTTAAAAAATACACCTTCAAATTAAAGGAAGCAGACAGTGATCAAAAAGAAACGACAAAACCCAAAGCTTCTGCTGAAAAGGCTTCCAACCAGAAAGAATTGGAAACTAATGGATCTGGAAAAGATCATGAGTTTGGCCTTGATTCGCCTCAGAATGAAACTGCCCAGAATGGGAACAACGACCAGTCCATCACAGAGTGTTCCATCGCTACCACGGCCGAGTTTTCTCATGATACAGATGCCACAGAGATTGACTCTCTTGATGGCTATGACCTGCAAGATGAAGATGATGGCTTGACGGAGAGTGATTCCAAACTCCCAAGTCAGACCATGGAAATTAAGAAAGACATCTGGAACACAGAGGGCATTCTGAAGCCAGCTGATCGCTCCTTTAGCCAAAGTAAACTTGAAGTCATCGAGGAGGAGGGAAGGGTGGGACCAGATGAAGATAAGCCATCTTCCAAAAGCTCTTCGTCGGAAAAGACTCCTGATAAGACTGATCAGAAGTCAGGGGCCCAGTTTTTCACCCTAGAAGGCAGACATCCTGACAGATCCGTGTTTCCGGATACTTATTTCAGTTACAAAGTAGATGAAGAATTTGCCACTCCTTTTAAAACAGTAGCGACCAAAGGTCTAGATTTTGACCCTTGGTCTAATAACCGAGGGGATGATGAAGTTTTTGACAGTAAATCCCGGGAAGATGAAACTAAGCCGTTTGGTCTGGCTGTGGAAGACCGCTCTCCGGCAACAACCCCTGATACAACGCCAGCCAGAACGCCAACCGATGAAAGTACCCCAACTAGTGAGCCTAACCCCTTCCCATTTCATGAAGGAAAAATGTTTGAGATGACTCGCAGTGGTGCAATTGACATGAGCAAGAGGGATTTTGTTGAAGAGAGGCTCCAATTTTTCCAGATTGGTGAGCATACTTCTGAAGGGAAGTCAGGGGACCAGGGGGAAGGGGATAAAAGTATGGTCACTGCCACACCACAGCCACAGTCAGGGGACACCACTGTAGAAACCAATCTAGAGAGAAATGTAGAGGCACCTGCGGTCGAACCTAAACCCAGCAGCCCGACCAGCGGAGAGTGTCAGGAAGGCACAGCCAGTAGTGCCTCCCTGGAGAAGTCAGCAGCAGCCACTAACACCTTGAAAGTTGACCCCAAGTTGCGCACGCCTATAAAAATGGGGATTTCTGCGTCCACCATGACCATGAAGAAAGAAGGCCCTGGAGAAGTCACAGATAAGATAGAAGCTGTGATGACCAGTTGTCAGGGATTAGAAAATGAAACTATAACAGTGGTTTCAAATTCAGCCGATAGCCACATGGGTGCTAGGCCCCAAGAAAAACACGATTTTCAAAAAGATAACTTTAATAACAACAACAATTTGGATTCTTCCACTATACAGACAGATAACATTACGAGTAACGTAGTTCTGACAGAACACGCCGCACCCACTCGTACCACAGAGAAAGCTAATCCAGTGAAAAGCTCATCAGGAAAAAAGACAGGGGTGCCACAGGGACACTGTGTGAGAGAGAAGCAGAAAGTGCTTGGAGAGCAGCAAAAGACACAGGCACCGGTAGGGATTAGGCGCAAATCCAAACTTCCCATAAAGGCCACTTCCGCAAAAGATACCTTCCCACCAAATCCTATGCCAAACATGAAAGGGAGTAAAACGAAGCAGGTTAGCCCATCTGAGAAAGCCAAAACCTTTACCTCTTCTTCATGTCTAGACGTAAAGTCCAGAATTCCAGTAAAAAACACACACAGGGATCACACAGCTTCAGTTAGAAAAACATGCACCCCACAAAAGCAAGGGCAGCCAGAGAAAGACAAGGCCAAACACCTGCCAACCAAGTTGCCAGTAAAGGTAAGATCCACCTGTGTCACCACCTCCAGTGCTACCACCACAGTTCAAGTCAGGAAAAGTCAGCTTAAGGAAGTTTGTAAACATTCCATTGAATATTTTAAGGGAATTAGTGGTGAGACCTTAAAGCTTGTGGACCGCCTCTCTGAAGAAGAAAAAAAGATGCAGTCCGAGGTGTCGGATGAGGAAGACAGTACCTCAAGAAACACGTCGTTGTCCGAGAGTTCCCGGGGTGGCCAGCCTTCAGTTACAACGAAGTCTGCTAGAGATAAGAAAACAGAGGCAGCGCCTTTAAAATCAAAGAGTGAAAAGGCCGGCAGTGAGAAAAGGAGCAGTAGGAGGACTGGTGAGAATGAAGGCAGTCAGGTTTCTCGAGCACTCTTTGCTCACATCCTGGAGAACGAGCCTAGTTTGTAAACACTTTCCAACTCGTAGACCCTAGTGCATGAACTGTTGTGATTGCCTGTGGAGTGACTTAACCGTAGTTTCTCATTCTGTCATTGTCATCTGTATGTGCTGTTTATATATCCTCCTCTTTCTTCCTTCTAACCAAACTACACCATAGACAGCTAGGGAAGCATGCTGAAGATATTGGTGTCATTCATGATGAGCAAATTTTTTTTTTTAATGTGCTAACGGATATGATTCTGTGAAAGTAAAAGCACAGAAGTTGAAACCCATCATGGTGTTTTCACAAACACAGCACTTCTGTAACGGTTGTAAAGTAGCTAGCCTGTCAGCATGTTCAATTCCATTACATTGAGCATCCATGTAGTCTGACATTTGGCCTGATGCAGGCGAAAATGAAGTGAGTCCTGTGAAAAGAGGTGTTCATGTAGGTGATTAGGACACAGTTAAGTGTACAGTGTTAGCATTAGTCTCTCTGTAAAATCTGAGTACTGCTCAAAGCAATTTTCCAGTATCCTGTTTTTCTTGATGATTATTTTAATTAAGAAATTGTAAATCGTAGGTCCACAGAGTCCATGTGAACGGACAGATATCAGGATGGCAATAGTAGCCGATCACCTGGGACTTAGTTGGACAGGTAAGTGTGTATAAACCCGAATGAAACAGATAGTTTCTTAAATTCTTTGTCTTATTCACAGGCGGTTCATTATAAAAAAAAACAAGCAATGAGTAAAAAATATTATAATTCTACCTACCCAGAAATAATTACTGCTAGTACTGTATACTGTGTTTTCCAAGGCTTTTCCTATGCATATTCACTGAAGAATACAAATTTAAATCTTAATTTCACCTTGATTGTAAGCACTTTCTCACAATGCCATTTCTGGTAATATAGGATAACCTTTTATCTAATAGGAAATTTATTTTGTGGCATAAAAGAAAACGTAGCTAAGGCCTATGACTTTTAAGTAATTTAAAAATTTTAAACATGCCAGGGTGGGAAACCTCTGGCCCGTGGGCTGTATAAGGCCCGCGAAATCATTTGGTCTGGCCCTGCCAAGGCATTAGGGGTGAGTTAATTAAGTGTTTGACCAGATACAGCAGGCTAATTTTTAAATTGGTAATTTTGTATAGCTTGAGAATGATGTTATAAATATCCAAATGGCCCTTGGCAGAAAAAGAGTCCCCACCCCTGGTTTATGCCCTTAGAGCAGCTCTCTCAGGCAACAGTTAAATTAATCCATGCCTGGGTTTAAAAAATTTTAATCATTCATGAGTCATCTTCACAATTTTTATGATATACACATTATCTATATGTTTATTTAGCTGATAGTTGTAAATTGACTCCATTTTACGCTCAAATATTTATTTAAAGGAAAACTTTTATCCCTTTGATAATGGAAAACAAGGATCATTTTCAATAATTACATAAGCAAGAAAACAGGAATGATGATAAATTTAAATTTTTAAGTAAAATTTTAAAAAATAGTGAAATTAATGGAACTATTTATTTATGCAGAAAAGGAATATTCTGTAGGTTGAGTGTATTTGTTTAAATTCATAGCCATAAAACATAATAGTTTTAAAATGTCAATTATTGTCATAGCTAAAGTCATCTTGCATACCATCAGTGACATACATCTAGACTCAGGGAAATAATCATCTATGCTGTTAAAAGGGAGAGTATGAAAGTAGTTCATATAAATAATTTTCCTTTGACTGCCATAAGTCCCTCCCCCTCCTACATATTGAACCCTCCTCTCTCTTTCCACCCAGTCCTTGCTCTCAGACATACAGCTAATAACCAGGAGGCTGGTGATGGTCTGAGTAATCCCTTGCAGGTTGAGAGTTAATAGCAATCCGCTGTATGTAAACATTTGCTAACATAAAATTAAAGATAGTATTTATATTTTACCATAGGACACTATAATCTGAAAATAAAGTGGAGTCAGTGTTGATTTTGCAGTATTGTATGCCCATAACTATTAAATTATTTCCCATAAGCAAATCCAGTTCTCTGTCAGAGTAAATTTTTGGAGAAAATGTGATGTAAGAATAGACAGACATAAAGCCATAAAACGCTAAAATTCTTAGTGACAATGTGTCTTAGCTTTCATCGAGTCTAGACAAACGATACAGCTCAGTTATGAGAGCTTGTTGGGCAGTAAGTTGTCTTAAAACACAGAGAGATGAAGAACTTAGAAACAAATTTAATTTTTAAAATTTGAATTCCTATATGATAATAAAGATTATTAGGAAAATTAGCAATTAGAAGAACAAAATTTAAATCTGTCCATTAGAATCACTGTTAAGTAATCTTAATGAACTTTGATTTTTTTAAAAAAAATGCTCTTTTAAATGTTATATTAACTATGAAACTTACTGCTTTTTTTGTTGCAAGTACATAGTTTCTACAAAATTAAATATTCTCTGATCTTGATTTTAATGGCTAAACAATAACAACCAATAGAGATACTTTATACAATGATGTTGTTCTAACTGTGGGTCATTAGTGAGTCATGGAATCAATTCATGCTTTGGTTATGTTTTTAAATGGAATAGAATGGTAAAGAAGACATCTGTGTATTATATGTATTAAAGCTAGTTTTGCTCCATAAAGATCAGTTTCATTTATAGTAACACCAAGATATACAATATATTTCTTATTATAGGTTCTGATCAAAATAGTTTGCAAGCCCCTGCATTGCATTACATTAATTAACTCTTTTGTTCAACACTTGGATTGTTTTCAATTTTTCAGTAGTACAAGCCTACAATGAACATTCTTTGTATGTAAATCATTATGTACAACCCTAAGTATTGTCAAGATTGATCTCTAAAAGTAAAATCATGTGATCAAACGATATGGACTTTTTTTGAGCCTCCAAATGCATTTTGACAAATTGCTGGAAATATAATGGTCTAACCACTATGCTATATACCTGAAACCAACACAAAATAATACTGAATGTAAAAATATATATCCTTTTGATTAAATAAAAAAAATTAAGGATAGAATCTTAACCAATTCCTTTTCCATGGAAGGATATTTTTACCATTCCTTACTTTTTATAATTATTTAAGGTACTACATGCCTAATAAATCTTTTTTTAATTATACAAAAAAATAAGTCTTCTCACCTTTGACTTCCACATTTCCCTCTACTAAAGCAGCCACTACTACTCATACATATCTTCCCAAAGACACTCTCAGCATAAACAAGATTGAGTGTATACATCTAGATGGATAGAAAGATATCTCCCTTTATTTTGTATACATGTGGCAGCATATCGTACACAGTGATCCGGCCTGGAGTCATCCCTTAGCCTCCAAAGTGAAGTTCATGCAACTTGATGACATATAGAGAGGAATATTAAGTGAGTAAAAGATGTACCTCATGAAGACTGCCTAGGGAAAACACCAGCATCTCTTGTGCCAAATATTTATGAACTGTATATCCCTTGTACGAAGTTTGCTCGAATTGAAAGAATAATTTGGCTGAATTAAAAGAATCCAGCAAATCTTTCTGCAGATCAATAAACTATATAATCTAATTGTAACTAAGTAAGAGTTCAATCACAGCCTATGTAGGATCACTACTTTCCTGAGAAATCAAGTATATAATGATTATTGCCCAAGGCTATACTTAGGTTTTACTGTAAAATTCTTTTTTTTTAATGAAATATATGTGATAAAAGTAGAATACAAAATCTAAGTAACTCTTTTTCTTTTCTACAGAACTGGCAAGGGAACTGAATTTTTCAGTGGATGAAATCAATCAAATACGTGTGGAAAATCCAAATTCTTTAATTTCTCAAAGCTTCATGTTATTAAAAAAATGGGTTACCAGAGATGGAAAAAATGCTACAAGTATGCTAAAATTATATTACTTTAACTTTCATAACTGCATATATCCAATATTTTCTATAAATCTACTGTTAATAACATCAGAGTAATCAAAAAGTAGTAGCAGGTCTTTTGAAATTATATTAGTTTAGTGCAAATATTCTAACCTATCTTTAAGAAGCTTTCAGAAAGCAAATAGTAGGGAATTTTTTTGCATTTTTGTCTGAAGTTCTCTCTGTGACCATTAAAAGTGAAAATGTAATTCTAAGTGTTAAATCGTGGGGTGGTAGGCAAACACTATGAAGTTACTGCTATGGTCAGAGATGGATGTGCAGGGAAGTAGAGAGATCAAATTAGGGAATCAAATCATTGTACACAGTTTGGTCTGTGGTGGCAGAGAATTCTCTAATATTGTTGGGTTTTGTTTTACTGTGGGTGGCATAGGAGGGTACTATACTATGACAAGTGCCAACCCACAACCATGTGGAATAAGTTATTGTAAGGTCACCCTGATTTTAGTAAGTCATTAAATTGCTAAGCATTAGATATGAGGGTGACCTATTTTGACAGTCTGAAAGGAGAGGAACATGTTTAAAATTTTATGAGATCCCCTTATAACTAAAAGGAATGTAGCTATTTTGGGGCTCATCTGCTCTGCATCTTACAATGGAATGAATGTTGCTGTCTTCAAGCACAGCTTTATCGGGTGTCTTTATTCTTAAGACCCTTACAAATCTTCCCAGGAGTGGCCAGTTTTCTGAGCCCTCTGGTTTTCAGAGATGCAATAAGGAAGAGCTAAAATACCAGCAGGGTCGCAAAAGCTATGTCTTTGTGTGGATATTGTGATGACTGAAAGAAATAATTTCCTTGGATTTTCAACCTTTTTTTTCCCCTCCTTTTCAGCTGATGCCTTAACTTCGGTCTTGACAAAAATTAATCGAATAGATATAGTGACTCTGCTAGAAGGACCAATATTTGATTATGGAAATATTTCAGGCACCAGAAGTTTTGCAGATGAGAACAATGTTTTCCATGACCCTGTTGATGGTAATTGAATCCAGTGTTCATATTTATTTAATCATTTGATAAAATTTGAAAGTGCAGTGAAACAAAGAAGTCAGTTAAACCAGCTAAATGATGATTTGCTTGACTTAATTTCTCATTTTCACAGCATTTTTTCTGCCAGAGTCTGCAAATATATACTCTATAGACCAAACGATAAATGTCTGTTATGTAAAATATGAACCATGAGATATAAAAGCATATGTTATCTGAAAGAATTCTATTTCAAATATTTTATGTGACCAAATGGGAAAAAGCTTAATATCTAGACTGCACAGTTTTTGTTATTTTCACATTAACCTTAAAAACTAGTGAATTAGCTTATTGTATATAGACAAAACCAAATTGCGAGCTGTTTTACCTTACATAAGTAAGGTATTGGGTCAAGTTTAAGCATATAGTATACAAATTGTTAAGTAAAATGCTGAATTACTGTTTTGGGACCCAGTATTTAAGTATGTACTGAAAAAGTCTAATGTGTCAGTCAAAAAGTATTTTAGTTATTTAGCATTATTTTATCGTTGTGTGCTATTTATTTGTTGGGGGGGGGGAACCCTACTTGACTAATATAGTTTATAAAATGCAGCATAATTTCTGTTCAATGAGCATATATGTCTCTAATAACATAATTTGTCTTTTACATTAGCTTCATTTATAGATTTTGTAATTTTGGGCTTTTTTCATCAAAGTATTAAGAAAAGCATAACATATCTTATGTTTTTCAAGATTCTCATCTTCCTTCACAAATGGAATTTATTCCTAGAATGAATTTAGAGTAAAAATTTTGATGATGGTGTGGAGGCAGGAAGAAGGACTAGGGATATTTTTCCACTATTCCATGTTTTGGAAAATGACGATTCTTTTTCCAGTTTTAAACTGGAAAAGTTAGACTAACAAGAATCAATAACTTCTAATTCTGCATGTTATGTGATAATAGTTCTCAAAGTCAACAGAAAATTTAAAGCATACCATAAGAATGATGGGTAATAATGTCAAAAGTGGTTTCTCTTTAAGTTTATAAACACCAGAGAATCTTGGGGAAAAGCTCTCTTTAAAGCCTTATCTTATATGTGAAACCATGTATTGGTACTAAAGACATATCATGCTATATCAAATGATGAATTATTGCCAAATTATAGAATCTTTTAATATTCTTTGTTGGGGAAATTTTTAAGCGCAGTAGCTCTAATACACAAGATTACCAGGAAACAATGGATGTATTCAATGGAATTGAAAACTACATTTAATTTTAACATTTTAAAATCAGAATAGGGAAATTTAGGGATATGTGTATTAAATAAATATCACTTGTGCAGATTATAAACCTCAGCTAATCTTAGCCAGCTTTTCAACAAGATTCTGGTCTACAGGTGACAATAGGAAAATATTCACTTACCTATCGTGATCTGAATTCACAATAAAAGTTAACTTGATATTTACCTTGGACTGATGGAAAAATGAGGCTTCAGTTTTGTAGACTAATAATTCAGAAAATGTGCTGAGTTGCGTTGTGTGTTGTTTATTCCTGTCTCTCCTCTTTGTTGAAATTCTGTAAAACTTCCTTTCCTCACCATGACCAGACCATTGTTGACTTTTCTCTCTGCTCAAAGAGAAAAATACTCCCTTAGCCCATGCAGCGCAGTTTAAAATATGAGACCTGCTCCCTCCGTCCTCTCTATGTAGTCTGGTTAATAAACCTCTGTGTTTCATAGCCTTGTCGTGGATATTCAGACCTCTTTGCAGATGGTTTCCTCCTGTCTCTGTTGTACCATTTCCTTTTTCTCTTTCTTTGATTCATGGTTCTGAGTGGACCCATCTCACCAAGTTTACCAAATGTCCATATACACCACAGCCCTTTCATCTCTGACACATTATGACACTTGAAAATTTACATGGAGTCTTTTCTACTTTATCTGCTTTTTAAATCCTTTTCCTAACATGGTTTTAGATTTTTTTCCCAAAATCTAATAATCATTTCTTTCCAAATATTAAATTCATTTTTCTTTGCTGTAAATTTCATGTGAAATAACTAAAAATTAGAGTTGGGTAGAATCGCTCATATGCACTGTTCTTAAAATAAGTTATAATTATAAAAATTGGTTTCTTGTGGCTTGCTGTATTTAATCCACCAAAATATGGATTTTACATGCTAAAAGTTGAATGATAATAAATTTGGCCATGGAATAAATGTATCTTATATAGTGGCAAATAACTTTATATTACATTAATCTGTGTATTTAAGTTATTATATTAAAATCACCAAAATTGATAAACAGTCTATATCTTAATTAATATCCTATCTTATTATAGTTTGAACTAGCCTTTTATTTCATTGTATTACATTTAATTGAACTAAACCAATAAATTTATCATTCTGTAATTCATCATACATTTTCATACCTGATATAATTTTAAGTCATTCCATGTGTTTTTGTTTGATGTGTTCGTAATTCATTCCAGTCAGTCCAAATGTACTGTCTTCCATAGGTTATCCTTCCCTTCAAGTGGAACTGGAAACTCCCACAGGGTTGCACTACACACCACCCACCCCTTTCCAGCAAGATGATTATTTTAGTGATACCTCTAGCATAGAATCTCCCCTTAGAACCCCCAGTAGACTGAGTGACGGGCTAGTGCCTTCCCGGGGAAACGTAGAGCATTCAGCAGATGGACCTCCAGTTGTAACTGCAGAAGACACTTCCTTAGAAGACAGCAGACTTGAAGACTCAATGCCTATAACAGAAATGCCCGAAGCAGTCGATGTAGATGAGAGCCAGTTGGAGAATGTTTATCTGAGTGAGTATCCTCGATACCTTGGAAGTTTGGCTGGGGTCCCAAAAGATGTTAAACCAGCAGAGCCACTGAAACATACTAGAAAAGTGAGAGTCAGCTCTGAGCAGCAAGAGAAAGGAAAATCTGGTCCTGATGAGGAGATGACAGAAGAAAAACTCAAATCTCTATTTGAGGACATTCAACTTGAAGAAGGAGTAGAGTCTGAGGAGATGACAGAAGAAAAAGTAGAGGCTATTCTTAAACATGTTCAGCAAGCAGAACTGGAACTGTCTTCAATTACAGGTTGGCAGAATGAGACCAGTGGAAACCTAGAGTCCCCGGCTCAAGCTCGAAGAATAACTGGTGGGTTACTAGATCGACTGGATGACAGGTATGGCTGCTTCAGAAAAAGGAAAATGAAACAGGTTACATATTAGTAGTTTAAATATGTGCTTTTCAGCAATTACTCTTTTTCTACATGACCATTCCAGTTTGGGGATAATACATGCTTTCAAGGTTGGTTCATTTGCTAATCTGGAGAGGAAAAATTACATTAAGCGCAAATATAATTCTTAAAACTATTGACAGCCTGAGGGAAATGCAGAAAGTTTGAAATGCATGCCAAAGATTGATGTACATTTTACTTTAGAAGACTACTCTTTTCACATAGCCAGTAATTAATGCTCATTCAAAAGAATATAATAAATAAATTCCAAGTTTTTTAAAGAAATATAAACATAAGCAGGCTTATTATACAAATTTTAAAAATACAGATTTATAAAAAATCAATGCAACCCCACAGTCTAGCAATAACCACCATTAAAATTTTGGTGGATTTTTTTTTGCATACATATTTTAAAATGTCTTAACAGAAAACACAAAGAAAAAGTCATCCGTCTTTCTACCATACTAAGAAAACACATTTTTATATAATATCCTTCCTTTTTTCTACATGAGTGTTTTACGTGATTTGAAATATAGTATATGTACCATTTTTTTTTCTAGAGAGAGGAAGGGAGAGGGAAACATTGATGAAAGAGAAACATCAATCGACTGCCTCCTGCACATGCCCCAATGGGGACTAAGCCCGCAACTGGGGCATGTGCCATGACCAGGAATCGAACCAGTGACCTCTTGGTTCATGGGTTGGTGCTCAACCACTGAGCAACACTGGCTAGGCAGTATATATAATTCTTTAGCCCAAATAATTTTGCCATGATTGAAATTTGTTTATATCCAATGTAATTCCCTAATTATGAATCTGATTCTTTTTATAGTGGCCTTACTCTAGAAAGGTGGGAGTTTATGTCCTCCAGACATTGATTCAAATCTCAACATCATTAGGTTTGCACTTTGTGACTTTGGATGAATTTCTAAGCTCTTAGAATGTCACTTCAATCAGCTTTAAAAATAAGAATGACTACTTTCCTCAAACAGGTTTATATATTGAAAAAGAAAGCTTGTAGCATGCATACCAAATGACTGATGCAAATAGTCTGTTAGTAATTTTTTTTATGTACACATCAGACATTTTACTTCAATGGCAACTAATGATAAACTTAAGTTGGATGCAAAAAAAAACAGATTATTTCATAACCAAATTTAATATTTTCATCTTACTAAGCCTCTTGCTCCATAAAATTCCCAAAGGTGAAGTTTACAAAACTTTTTTTGCAGAATGGTAGCATCAATGAGTTCTATGTTCACCCTACCAAAGAGCCAAGACAATAAAGAACACTACTTCTGATGTCTACATTCAGATACAGTCGTATAGTTTATGGTTGTAGTTATGTTATAGAACAGTGGTTCTCAACCTCCTCATGTTGTGGTGACCCCCAATTTCATTGTTACAAATTGAACATAATTAAAGCATAGTGATTAATCACAAAAACAATATGTAATTAGATATGTGTTTTCCGATGGTCTTAGGTGACCCCTGTGAAAGGGTGGTTCGACCCACAAAGGTGTCGCGACCCACAGGTTGAGAACCGCTGGTTTAGGATGACTGGCAGCATGTGGGAGCTGGTGGCCACTGCTCTAGGCACCAGTTCTCAGCAGCTGGGACCACTTGCCAGTAGCTGAGACTTGATTTTGCCTTTTCTAAGGCTTTGCTCTTATGTCCCGTCCTGGCAGTTTCTCTGCACTGCCTTGGGGAACATCGGCAGGAGTTAGTGTTACCACCCGAGGTACCACCCTTGACCGATGAGAAACAGAAGCCAATGAAGAAATGTGTCCTCTT